AGTGTGTCTGGGTTGCTCACAATATGTCCTCTGTCTTCCAGATATCTCACACACTCTGAGGTGTTTTAGCAAAAGTGTAGCCAGCAGATCCAGGGAAGTGGTGCTTCTTCTCTCTTGGGCACTCATGAGACCATGCCTGGGGTCTTGTGTTCAGTCTGGGGCTCTTGGGTATGTAGGGAAGCTGTTGACATGTGGGAGCGAGTCCAGCGGAAGCCCCCCAGGCACTCAGGGAGTTTGAGGACATGAGGCACTAAGAGAGCCTGAGGGAACGAGACCTTAGGAAAAGAAGGCTCAAGGGAGACTGTCTAGGTGTCTACAACTATGTGCTCTGAGGATGTGGAAAAGATGGAGCCAGGCTCTTGTCCAGGTGCACAGTGATAGGACAGGAGGCAACAGGCACAGTTTGGAACTTGGGAAATTCTATTTAGATGTTGGTTTTTTTTGATCCTGAAAATTTTCAGCTGTAGTAATATATTGTCCAGAGATATTTTGCCGCCTCTGGCCTTGGAAATTTTCAAGACTTGACTGGATACATGCTGACCAGCCCTGTCCAATCTTCAGTATGCTATGGAAAGAGTAAACATAGTGTGGTTGGCTTGTTTCATAGAAGCTAGATGTAAGGAGAGGACAAATCCAGATCCCACTGGTTTTAAAGAAACTGAGAATGGAAGGGTTATGTTGAAGTATTTGACTATTTGTTGTTTGTTTGTGGTTTTGGGGTTTTATCCCCAGTAGGGATCTCAGAAGCCGATTTATGAGATGGGATGGACAGGGTGCCAGGAAGCTTCATCTATTGGTGCATGAAATACCTTTTGCATAGAGGGAGAAAGTCCACAGTGCCTGGGAGTGCTGAGTGGGACAGTTAGTGTCTGCAGGTTTTGGGATGTGCTGACAGGAGCTTGGGACTAGACACTGTACTGGAGTCAGGAGAGGCCAACCCAGCCAAGGGTTTGAGATTGGTGGGAGAGAAGGCACAAGGTGTTGAGGAAAGAGAGACTGCCAAGATGTTGCACAGGAGGATGTGTCCGAGAGGCTGGTCACCAGGGCTATGCCTCTTTAATCCCTTGCCTTGGACAGGCAGAAGGTGTTGGCTGCACAAGCAACATATATCAATATTGAAGGAGAGAAGACCACAGCACAGGAATGTCATGTGTGCTAAGAAAAAGCATTTTCTTCCCCCCATTTCATTCTTTGTTCCCCTTGCAGAGTCATTTCCTGCAGCTCTGCTCTCTTGGGGCTCTGGGTGGGGATGTGTGGGTTTTTGAGTTTCTCTCACACATGTGGGAAGATCGGTCTTAGCATGCACCTCGGGTATCTCATCCTCGCTGCCTTCCTGCGGCAACCACTGGGTTGTGTACAACCTTCTCTGTGTGTACAACTATGTGCTCTGAGGGTGTGGAAAAGATGGAGACAGGCTCTTCTCAAAGTGCACAATGGTAAGACAAGAAGGAGCAGACACAATTTGGATCCTGGGAAATTCTATTTAGATGTAAGAAACTCTTTTTATTTTCATATTTTTTTGGACCATGAAAATTCTCAAGTATGGGAATGTGTTGTACACAGATGTGCAGGCTCTGGCCTTGGAAATTTTCAAGACTTGACTGGACACAGTCCTTACCATCCCTGACCAACCTAATTTATGCTGTAGAAAGAGTAAACATAGTGTGGTTGGCTTGTTTCATAGAAGCTAGATGTAAGGAGAGGACAAATCCAGATCCAACTGGTTTTGAGGAAACTAAGAGTGGAACAGTTATAGTCAAAGTGGAAAGGCTCTTTGTTGTTTTTTTTGTTCTTTGTTTTTTTTTCTTCAATGAACTTTTCAGAAGGTGATTTATGAGATTTATGAGATTTATGAGATGGGATGGCAGGGTGGCAAGACATTTCATTTATTGGTTCCTGAGATACCTTCTTTTGGATACAGGGAAAAAGTCCACAGTGCCTGAGAGGGCTGAGTGGTACAGTTAGGGTTCTGCAGGGTTTGGGGTGTGCTGACAGGAGCTTTGGGCTAGACATCATGCAGGAGCTAGGAAAGGTCAACCCCACCAAGGGCTTGTGATTGGTAAGAGAGGAGGCACAGGCATCAAGGAAGGAGAGACTGCCAAGATATTGTACAGGAGGATGTGTCAGAGGTTGGTCACCAGGTGCAGGCCTATCCCTCTTTTATTCCTCACCTTTGAAAGACAGAAGGTGTTGGCTGCAGGAGCAGCACATGTCTACTGCTGGAGAAGGGAGGACCACAGCACAGTCATTTCAGGTGTGCTAAGAACAAGTGTTTTCTCCTCCCCACTTCATTCTTTGTTTTCCTTGCAGAGTCATTCCCAGAAGCTCTGCTCTCTCAGGGTTCTTTGTGGGGACGTGTTTTTTTTGAGTCTGTCACACATGCAGGAGGACTGATCTCAGCACGCATTTTGGGTATCTCATCCTGGCTGTCTTTCTGAGGCAACAACTGCATAAGCATTGGTTTTGACTGGAAGCGTGATTCCTCTTCTCCCTAGGAGACCTTCATCTATCTACTCAACAGTTCTCTGCAGTGAGCTCATCTCAAACTGTGAGCAAATGTTGGGAAACATCAGATCACATGAGTGGTTTTACACCTGTTTTCTCAAGATGCTGTTACTGATGGAAAAAAAAAAGATGAGATGGAGAAGAAACAGCTCCTCTCCTGATCATCTTATACCACTAACCTTCCTTTTCTCTTGCTAACTTCCCACCTCTCTTTGCCTCTCATCTGACCTGTCTGCGCCCAGTGTTTCAGACATGTCATTGCAGAAGCCCTCTTCTATCTCTGCAGTACATGTTTTCTGAACTTGCAGCCCAAACACACAGGACTTTTGAAAGCTAATGCACAACATGAAATCTCTCTCATCCCACTTATGTTCTTAGGATGTCCCAGTGTCTCTCCAGGTTGGTACATGTGGTGCAGCATGCCCTGGATACCCATTCCTCTTGCAATTCTGCACTGCCAGGGCTTCCTGTTCCCTCCGTTCCATGAAGTCAGAGTCATCCAGGAGGACAGGGAAAAGAAAGTAGGTTGAAATTTCTCACAAGAGTTCCCAGGTCCCTCACCCTGCTGGAGGTGTCCTGGAGCCAGCACAGGAGGACCAGACACTACAGTCCCTGGAGACTCCAGGCAGGAGGAGAGTCAGGATGGAAGACCTGGGTGAAAGCACAGTTCTCCTCTGGGGGTATCCTGTGGGCAGTAATTGGCATTATTGTGCTGTGGGATTCATGATGAGCTGAGGTCTCAGATCTCCTGCCCAAAGACACTCACTGCCTTGCTGTTCCCACTCGTGGGGCTCTGGCTGCAGAGCAAGGCACAGGGAGCCTTATCCTCTGACACCTTCCATCTCCTCTTGTTTTGCATCTAGGAGCTTTTCTCTGCACAGCCACTGACCCTTGCTTTCTTCCAGGCACCATGGGGCAGACCATTGTCACCCAGCAAGAAGGACAAGTCACAGTGAGGCAGAGAGACATCTTCCAGTCCAGTTGCACCTACCAGACTTTTAACTTGTATGACTTGTACTGCTACCTGCAGAAGAAAGACCAAGCCTTGAAGCCAGTCTTGCAGCAAGCATCAGCTGATACCAAGCAGAGCGGCCGTTTCACCACTTTGCTGAACACCATGGGGAAATACAACCTCCTGCAACTGGAGGAAGTCGAGGTCTCTGACAGTGCCTTGTACCTCTGTGCTGTGCAAGACCCCTGGTGCAGGGAGCTTCCTTGGCTGTGCAACAACCCAGGGGAGGGAGGGAGGGGATGTGTCTGTGGTGCAAGGCTGAGCTTGGGGGAAGGGGTCCTCAGCTCTCCCATGGCAGTGCTGATTCCCCTGTGCACCTAGAGCTCTGCAGGCCAAGATCCTCTTCAGGAGAGGACAGTGTCAGTGGCCTGAGAGGAAGGAGAAGGTGGTGAAAGTCTCAAGTTGCCTTGCTTTCACTGTAGATTATGTGATTATTCGGCCCAATGACTCTGGTGAGGTGATGGACAAGGCAGGAGATCGGGGCTGTTTATGTAACTGTTCCTTGCTGCTGCTCTTTGCTTTCTGAATTTCCCTGCTGCATACTGCTTCTTCAGGTATTCCTGCAGGCCTGTCTCTTAGAGTGTCTGCTCTGGGATGTGTCCCTGAGAAGAAAGAGTTGAAGGTAAGATGAGAAACATAAATAACATGCCATATGGCAATGCTCCTTCCTGGAATTACATGATTGCAAGTATTTTGAATAATACTCAGAACCACCTTGTGGACTTTCCAGTTGCTGTGTGGTTGTGTGCTGAGATCTGGAGGACCTGTTCTTCCCAGTGCACTTGGTCCATCCATGGAGCCCTTCTTAGGCCCTACCTCTTAGGCCCTAAAGAGAGAGAAGAAGGCTAAAAGGAATACAGGAAAGGTAAACATTGTCCATGTTTTCAGAGATCCCAGGCTGGCACCTTTCAGCCTGCCCTTGCAGGACAAGCCAGAGATGGTCAGTTAGTCTTAAAACAATGGCAGGAAGCTTGATCCTTTATCCAGCATCATGCTCTGAGTTCCTGGGCGTCCTTGTCTGTGGCTGTTGCAATCACCTTTAGCAAGGGAGGGCACCTTCTGCCACAGTAGCGGCTGGCAATGCAGGAGAGGTCACAGCACCCAGAGTGGATGGGGTCTCCATCACAGCTGAGGATGCTGCCAACAGCAGCAGAGGTGGAGGAGCCCACAACAGTGTTCTGTGGGAAGGAGCTGAGGATGGGGCCGGGCAGGGTCACCACCAGAGGAGAGGGCTGGATGACAACAGTGGAGTTCTGGCACTGCCTGACACAGGGCTCATTGCAGCTGTGGGCCAGCGGGGTTGGGCCACAGGGCCGGCATGGCAGGCACGGGTTGTAGCAGGACATGTCTTCAGTCCAGAGGTGTACCTGGAAGAGAGGGCAGGGGACTAAGTAGAGCACCAGGATGGGTGCAGAGCTCTCTGGTTTCCCTGTCACAAAGAGCCAAGATCACTATTGAGTGTGAGTGGAGAGCTGGAAGCTGTGCTAGGAGCCACGTGCTCTTCATTGTCCTAGAAAGAGCAGCCTGACCCAGGGAGGCTCTCTCCTAATTCATAAACCAAAAGCCCCCTCAACCATGTCCCAGTCTCTCTAGGCACACATTATCACCATTTCTTTGTCCCATGACAAGATGCTCCAAGCCCCAGAACAGGACAGAGCCAGTATCAGCTGAGAGGTTCATTGAGGAGAGATCTCACTTTGGAAGAGGAGGGCTTCAGGGTCACCTGGCTCCCAAGGAGAAGGAGGCAAGAGAAGTGGATGAGAGAGCAGGGACTTGGGCTGGCTTTTATACCTGCGCTTCATTGCCGCAGGACCAGAGGCCCTCTTTGTAGAGGTAACAATTTTCTGACAAGCTCATTTTGAATTCAAACCATCACAGTTAATGATATGGGCTGTGCTTTTGTTTCCAACACTGCTGCCTTTTCATTTCCAGGTTTGGGCCATGCCCATTCTCCAGTGGCAGCTTCTTCTGAGTGCTGGGATGAAAGGCCCCAGGATTTGAAGGGCAGGAATGTAACAGTGCTGGCAGAAGACTCAGCTCAAGTGCTGGATGGGTCCAGAGCAGACAAGCGAGGTCAGCCTCGGTCGCTCTGTTGTGGCTGTTTGAAGTGTCGTTCTCAGGAAGAACCTCCAGCCATTCTCAGCTGGAAGCCCAAGGGTTACCGTGTATGAGGATGTGCCATGTCCAGTTCATCTCTTTCCTTCCATCCTCAGCTCACCCTGATGGTCACTTGTTTCCTCCCCAGATTTGTGCATTGTGCCAGGTTTTGACCACATCCTGCCTAACATTGACCTCAGGACAAAATTTTGGCCTCTTTTGACTCATCCTCTCTGTGCAGTCTCTGAGTACACAAACAACGCCATGGGCATTCCCCAGGTGTCCTCAGCAGGGTCCACAGTTGGTTGTGCTCTTACATGTGCTCTTGTCTTGTGTGCTTTTGTGTGCAGATGTGTTTGTGTGGATGCACATGGGAGCACAAAGTTGTGTATAATTCCATGCTGGAGTGCCCAAGCCTCTCTGAGTGTGTCCTTGTATGTCCATCATCATGAGGGAATGTGCTGCTCATGGCAAGGACACTCTACTCTGCTCTGTCCATGACCATCACAGAGCACCAGGTTCCCAGGGTCAGAAGGAGCCCTGAGTACAGCTGACTGGTGATGGCACTAGCCTGCTAGAGATCTTTTCAGAGAAGAGGCACTGAAATACAGTCCCTGGCTCCTGAGCCCTCCTTCTCCACCCCCCCCCCAAAGCTCAC